TTCATCTTTCGGGTTTTTTTCAGTCTGTATTGAATTCAGATTAGCGATGCTGCAATCTGTCAACCTTTGAGGCTCGCGAGAGTCTTTGTTCGCATTTTACAAGCTGAAAAAATGCGCCTCTTTTCTTCCTCTTTTTTTATTAAAAATCCTCTTTTCTCTGACAACGAAATTCCTCTTTTTTCCTCTTTTTCGACGAGCTGTCGGTGGGATGCCAGCATATAAATCATATCGGAGTCTCGTCACTTGGTCTAGCACGTACATATACAGAATAGCCTATCAAAATGGCAACATGTTTGAGCCCTAAGAAAACTTTTATTAAAGCAACAGAACAAGAAAAATACACGGAAAAAATGCATCTTTGAAGGATTTCACCACGAAACGTTTCACAAATATTGCTCAATGTGTTTACCCTCTAAGTCTTTGCAAAGTTGTAGTCTTTCAGGTACTGATTGACAAGCCCTTCGACATAATTCTTCCGGTAAACTTTCCATTTCTGTAATGATAGCATCTTCAAGTTCTTGAAGATCTTTAGGTTTTGTCGCATACACGCGGTCTTTGATCACTCCCCATAAAAAATAATCGGTTGGTGTCAAATCTGGAGACCGTGCGGGCCACTCAATTGGTCCACGTCGACCAATCCACCGATCAGGAAATGTTTCATGCAGGAAGTATCGAACGGATTGAGCATAATGAGCTGGTGCTCCATCGTGCATGTAAAATATCTCTTCTAAATTCATTCGACTTTTAATAGCAGGAACAATTTCATCCCTTAGCTTTTCAAGATAACTCTCTGCGGTAACGGTATCACGAAAGAAGAAAGGTCCGATAATACCTCCAGACCAAATACCAGCCCATACAGTAACGCCTGGAGCATTCATTTCTTGGGTGATCACGATGTGAGGATTTTCCGTAGCGTAGTAAACGCAATTATGTCGATTGACATGCCCGTTCAACTTGAAAATAGATTCTTCTGTCCAAACAATTCGATCAATTAACGAAGAATCGTCAGCGATCAAGTTCAGAAAAATGTCAGCAAATTCGCAGCGTCTATCAGGATCATCCTCGTTCAATGCATGTAGTAATCGAGGACGATAAGGTTTCAAACCCAGCTCCTTCATCATTCGTTGAAGACTGGTTCTTGAGAGATTCAGATCCGAAGAAGCTCTCCTTGATGATGTCGCAGGATTTTCTTGAAAAGCAGCACGAATGCGTTCTTTGTTCTCATCGGTACTAACTGATCTAGGCCGTCCAGATCTGGCTGCATCTTGGACACTTCCGGTTTCGCCGAATTTTCGTACAAGATTCAAAATGTGCTTGCGTGATGGAGGAACTCGGTCATACTGATACTGGAACTGACGAGCAACTTCAGCTGCATTCTGGTGTATAGCATACCACTTAACAATCTCAATTCTTTCGGATGATGACAAGAAAACTTTCGCTCATGATTAAAAAAATCTGAAGAAAACTAAGTTAGAACCGAACAACAACAGTTAGTATAGAGAACAAAACATAAATCAGCCGATAAAATAAATAACCACTTGCATTGTTATCTGACAGATGTCCCTACTAGTGCATATATGTGAACAGGTACTAACGGAGGAAATAGTAAGGTGCGTTACGAGAGGAAAAACTATAACTCTCAATCAGATTGCCATCTTTATGGGTTATTCTATATATGTACGTGCTAGACCAAGTGACAAGACTCCGATATGATTTATATGCTGTATCTTTAGCTTATGTCACCTACTATATATGCTATAAATATCAGACCTAAACAACGAAGTATAAGAAAGAAATAAAAAAAAATACTTTGTTACCTGACTTATGGGCCACCCTGTATATTTGACATCTTCAATATACTTTTGACTTGTCTAGTCTGATTAAAATTAGTCCGTTCTGTATTCAGAGCAGGTCGTTAAATTCATTGAAAATAATATAATTTAACTGTGAGAATAGCATTGATATTTGATTGATGTGTTACCTATATACAGAATACTTGAAGCATTCCTTACAAATATTTGAGACGAGAATTCATATTCCCGTCGACATCTAAACTAATGACATAATAGTGCTATATAGTGAGCAATAGGATAACGTCGAGTTTCCATTCATTAAAATAAGAATAATCCTATCCGAGATGTTTGTTTTCGCCAAAATTCAAGTGTTGTCTCCTAGAAAATGTCAATTTACGTCAAAATTATCGAAACTAAGATAAATCTATGAAAGGATAGGATGAAATCTCGTCTTTCACAAACGACATGATATTTTATTCAGTATCTAATTTTTTTGTGAAAATTGTTAATGATTTCTCTCATCACCTATTTGAAAATGATGCTTGTTATTCAGAAAAAGCAGTAGAACCTTCACGGTTTTTTTTCCTGTTTATGCTTTTATAAATGTATATTCCAGAACTTTCGAAGGAGATTCATTGTAGCCAACTGCTCTTTTTCATTTGAAAAAGTATATCAAGATGCAGGGCATGACCGAATTGCTTTGC